ATTTCATTCAAGATTTGATTCTCTCGGTATTCTTTTTAAAATTATCTTGGAACTATCTGCAGGATTGACTAGAAATTATTCGCAGAATATTCATGGAATCATCCCCAGAAATCTTTTCTTTTGGAACAGTCCTCAGAATTCAATACCCTTGAGGTTCTTCTCGGAAGTAAAGTTTAAGTTGTCCGTCCATTCACCAAAACGTTGTATTTTTTTTTCAACCAGAAATGTTCAATAAAGCTTCCCCCTCCATTCACCAGAACTGTGCAATTTTTACATCAGGAATTTTCAATTCAGCTTGCCCCTCCATGCAGTAGATTGTTGCAAATCTTACACCAGAAATTTTCAATACAATCTTGCCCCCAGGTAATTTTACACCAGAAAATTTCAATTGACCAGAACAATGCAAATTTTCCACCGTTAATGTTCAATAAACATTGCTTCTCCAATGTTCTGATTGGTGCAGATTTCCTTTTTCCATTTTCTACCAGACATTTTCAATATAGATTGCTTCTCCTATCATCAAAATGTTGCAGGTTTTCCACCAAATGAAGCTTGCCCCTATTTCCAGATTTTTCATCATAAATTTTTAGTAAAGCACCCAAGTAACCAACAAGCCCGTTAATAGCCCTTTTTGGTATATAAGGCTGCTATACGAGTGATATAAAGTTCCGAAACCCTATACACTGAAACCTCCGTATACGAAGTCTTTTTTTACGCAGTGTATTCAATTTACGTCCCTCTTTTTACGAAGTAAATCCTAAATAACGAGTTTTCTGTTTACGAAGTAAATTCCAAATAACGAGTTTTTTTTTTGCGATTATGGGAATCTGGGAAAAACTATGTAATATCCCACAAGATGGGTATCTTTGGAATCGGAGTGAGATGTAGGAACCGGAAACCCATGTCTGACGCCATTTTGAAATCCAAGATGGCGGCTTCCGGTTACAGAAAAACTTGGACATTCTGCCATATACAGCACAAAATGGGTATTTTTGGAATCGGAGTGACGTCAAGGGACCGAAAATCGATGTCTGACCCCATTTTGAAATCCAAGATGGCGACTTCCGGTTACAGAAAAACTTGGAAATTCTGCCAAATACCTCACAATATGGGTATTTTTGGAATCAGGGTGATGTGCAGGGACCATAAATCGATATCTGACCCCATTTTGAAATCCAAGATGGCGACTTCCGGTTACAGAAAAACTTGGAAATTCTGCCAAATACCCCACAATATGGGTATTTTTGGAATCAGGGTGACGTGAAGGGACCGGAAATCTATATCTGAAACTATTTTGAAATCCAATATGGCGACTTCCGGTTACATAAAACTCGGAAATTCTGCCAAATACCTCACAATATGGGTATTTTTGAAATCGGAATGACGTTTAGGGACCGGAAATTGATGTCTGACGCCATTTTGAAATCCAAGATGATGGCTTCCGGTTACAGAAAAACTTGGAAAACTTGTCGTATACCCCACAATATGAAATTTTTTGGAATTGGAGTGACGTGTAAGAACCGGAAATTTTTTCTGTAACCGTAAGTCGCCATCTTGGATTTCGAAATGGCGTCAGACATCGATATCCGGTCCCTAAACGTCACTCCGTTTCCAAAAATACACATATTGTGGGGTATATGATAGAATTTCCAAGTTTTTATGTAACCGGAAGCCACCATCTTGGATTTCAAAATGGCTTCAAATATTGATTTCTGGTCCCTGCACATCACCCTGATTCAAAAAATACCGATATTGTGGGGGTATTTGCAGAATTTCCAAGTTTTTCTGTAACCGGAAGCAGCCATCTTTGATTTCAAAATGGCGTCAGACATCGATTTTCGGTCCCTACACGTCACTCTGATTCCAAAATACCCATATTGTGGGGTATTTGATAGAGTTTCAAAGTTTTTTGTTTTGTATTTCCAAGTTTTTCTGTAACCGGAAGCCGCCATCTTGGATTTCAAAATGGCGTCAGACATCGATTTCCGGTCCCTAGACGTCACCCTGATTCCAAAAATACCCATATTGTGGGGTATTTGACAATATTTTCAAAAACCTCTTTTTACGAAGTAAATCCCAAATAACGAGTTTTCTTTTTACGAAGTAAATCCCAAATAACGAGGTTTTTTTTTTACGCAATAATTCGATTTATGAACCCCCGTTTTGGTTCGTAAATGGAGGTTCCAGTGTATTTACCTTATATTGCAAAAAGGGCGATTATCAGGTAGTTATTAAAATTTGTTTCTCTATTCAGCAGAAGGATTCAAATTTAAGACCAAAATTTGTCTGAAAAGCTTGCCCATTCGTTTACCAGAACGGTCCACTAGAAATTTTCAACATAGCATAATTTTAAATAAAGCTTGTGCCTTCATTTACCAGACCAGTGCGAGTTTTCCACCAGAAATTTTCTGTTCAGAGCGATACAAATTTTCATTTATCAGAGCGATGGAAATTTTGCACCAGATATTTTCAATAAAGCATGCTCCTCCATTCACCAGAACGGTGCACCAAAAATTGTTAGTGGAGTTTGTTTCACCATGTGGTGCAATTTTCAGGCTTTGCCTCTTCATGCACCAGAATGGTGTAAATTTTACACCATAAATTTTCAATGAAGCTTGCATTCATCAGAACGATACAAATTATGCAACAGAAAAATGAATAAACCTTGCTGCTACATTCGAACTTTGCGAACTTTCCACCAGAAATTTTCAGTTAAATTTGAAACCTCCAAATGTTTAGCATGATTCAATTTTTCCTCCAGAGTTATTTATTTTCATCAGTCCCTCAATACACCAACTTGATGATATTTTTACACCAGAACTATTAAATAAAAAGCTTTTTCTTCGATTAACCACCGTAAAGGTGAATTTTCTCTACCTTAAATTTACCCTCTTCTTTTAACTCTCCATGAACCACCTAGAAAAAAAAATACACCAAAATTTTTTTGTATACACCTCTATGGTGCAATTTTCAGGCACTATCTCAAAGGAATTTATGCAATCAAAGATTTTCAGTGCCCTTATATTATGAAATGAAGCAATTTTACCTTCAAATCAGATTATCAAGAAATCAATTTATTTTATATCATAATTTTGTGAATGTGGAAATAAAAATCTTATTTATAAAAAGTAGGGCGATTGCCCCCACCTTGCCTCACCCTGTGCACGCCAGTGAAACCAGGCATCGATGGTGCTGGAACTCCTATGGTACGAGAGTTCTTCAGAGCGAGAATTGTCGTTACTGCAAGGATACTTGATAGGCAGCTTGGAAGACCCCATCGCCAGCACTAGACTCAGGGCCGGGACGATTTGGGTGGCAGTAACGAGAAAGCTGCGAGATATTTTCGATAATGGCTGTGGGCTCGACTGAGCTAGGCGGGTCAGGGGCTTCCGTACTGCTATGTGTAGGGCGTCCCGGGTCAGATGACGATGAGCTTGATTGTGGGAAGAGTGGCGTGAAGATGCAGCGTTGAAAAGTGATGAAGGGCTATGCGTTGGTATTTTGCAACAAATAGTGTTCTCGAACGGACATACGCTGGAATTGGAAGGACGATCAGGAAGTGGAAGTTTATGAAAAATAACGTACTTTCCTAGGAAAGCAGGCTAGAGGACCTCAACTACAGTCTCGACAGCAGGACCGCGACGATTATGTTGAACGCTGGCAGCAATAGACCGGACTGTGAGAGCTGAGAAGAGGCCTCCAATGTGGTTTTTAACATGCGTCGCGGGATCCGTCTATCCGACAGGAAGCATTAGTTTTTTGGGAAATAAACAAACTCCCGTAAACGGAAACCAACGGGCCTAGTCGAGAGTTCTAACGCCAATTCCTTCAGATTAGGGTCCAATCCGATTTTGTAAGAAACAAACGTCAAGTTGGTGGTATCTTTGTCAAGTTAGTTGTATCTTCGGAACAAGGCGCACCACATCAGCAACATCCGAAGTACACAATATATATCAGAAACACAAAATTCAGACACTGACTAACAATTTAACTATAAAATTTATATGTTTGACTACGAAAACCGTGTCCAAATTTAGATTGAAATCCGGCTCAATATGACCCTTTAACACCTTATTCGTCACAAAATGTTAACACCCAAAGAAGGTCAACGTCCTCCGTCTGTGTATTTGACCATATGACTAAGTGAGTGGCAGCAACCCTGTTCTGGACTAATGCTTCTATCATCACATACCCACTTACCCTCTGATTCTTTCTCAAAAAACGATCCTAATATTGCCCGCACCGATATTGCACAATGAAGCGTAAATTTTCTCACTAACAAGTCGTTGGCTCATAATCCCTTGCTACCTTTTTGCCACCACCAGCAGATTGCCGAGGGTGCGGTGGGTGAATTCAGAGGCTGTTGCTCTTTCTCCTTCCCCCCCCCCCCCTCCAATGGCTGACCACGACGAGCTGGTAGCAGCTCAGTTACAGCTATAATACGCCTCATTTGGGAGATACAATAGCCACTATTAAGCTGGGCGCTGACTGGGGGCTGCCCGGGGACGGGAATTCTTTTCTCTGCTCTGTACCATATCGGAAGCTGGCTGACGAGCTCTTTTCGCTCTCGTTCGGACGGGTTGGCTATCGGGATGAATGCCAGACTAAGTAGCGACGTAATCAGCTATGGTAAAAAAAAAATACCGCGTTGGAATTATGTCAATGGGCTTGAGTAATTTGTGGAACGTGGTAACGAGCTGCAAAAACGGCGTCATTGTGTATGATGTACAAGAGGAGAATGCGCGAGTGGGTGGGGGTTGCTACTCGAGTCAAAACGGTCCTTGTTTCGTAAGGCGTTCCGTTCAAAGCGAAAGCATTTGCGTATGCTGTTCTGCTATTTTTTTTTTTGCGGGGTGAGTTGGTTAGCAAAACAATCAACAACAAAAAAAGCACACACATAAGAGTAAAGGCAGTGGGTACTCTAATAAATCCAGATCAATGTCCAGTGCGCATTTCTCGCGTAGAGCCTAAAAGCGTTGAAGTTGGTTTTTTTTACGTACCTGGATACCGTGCCTGCTGCGGGGGATAGTAACAGAAGGGATGTGTCATGTGTGCTGGAAAGTAATGATACATGCGTGGCGTGTAGCTCGGGGGTGCCGCCGAAACCAGTGCAACACGATCTAGAAAAATATGCAACGAGGAGAAAATGGTTTTTGTTGTTTTGGTTTATGTGAGTGAGCGTGATGCTTAGTTTTTACGGTTGGAGCACTAGTGTCCAATTTAAAAACTAAGCGTTTTGTTTTGATGATGGTCGCTTTACACTATAAGTATGTGTGTGAGTGGTGTGCGTTTGTGTGCGCTGTGCAGTGCAGAAAGGGTGCGTGGATGAATTGGCACCGTGTTACATAAAAGTTGATTTCGATTCGGATGATTGATTACTTATTTACACTTCACTTTCAACGACTTCTGCCTAACGGTGTGAGAAGAACTAACGATTTTAATACTCCCATCACGAATATAAAATTGGCTTTTAGTTGACTGATCTATTAGGTATTCCATGTTGAAATTATTATTTCTTGATGTCCATATTTCTACCTATCCCAACGATTTGCGCAGTCCCTACACATTTCCTTATATTGAGTTGTCTACATCTCGATATTCTATGTGGCAATAGACCCATAAACAAAAAAAGCGTTATAATATTTTCTCTTTTTTTTCCTTGATTTGTTTTCCGTCGATCTTGTTTTCCGTGCTGAGCACCAATGCTACCGACGCCAGGGAGGCAGCTCCCCACCTGAACCTTACCTATCGACAAATCAACTCATGAACCGGGGACCAACGACTTTACTTCCCTTCCGAAGGAAGGCGTGATCAGAGATGTTATGCCTCAGAATATCCCGGCGGCGCCGACTGGGATTGAACCCAGCACTGCTGGGATGACAGGTAATCACACTTACCACTACACCACCGGCGCCGCTACCTTCTCTTTCTCAGTTTCAACTTTATACGTTGTGAATAGTCTATTAATATCAAAGGAGTTTGTAAAATCAATTTCAAGCATGGTATTTTTCTCCAGTATTATGCGTGATTTGAGAGCGTTTGAGAGTGGAAAAATATCAATGTGCTAATGAGCATGATCATTGCAATTTCGATGAATTTCTAGACAAATAAAATCAAACAAACAATTTTTTTTATTGAAATTTGCCAAATTTGCTCTAAATTTAAGTAAAACATACGGTTTTCAAAAGACTCGTAAACGCTAACTCGGACGAGTCTGAATGAGTTATCACGACTAATGTGTTCATGCTAACTTTAAGTTTCAACCCCTCATAGATTACATGATTGAACCACGCCGAATTTGACAACATTTTTAACAAATAAAAAGTACAAAAATACTTAAAAGCCAAATTTTAATAAACTTCTTTAAAACAAGCTAAAACATTTATATATAGATGCCATTATCTATCATCTAGTTCGCATTGCATACAAGAAAATCATTTTCTGATAAGTATGTACCATTGATCATTTTCTTTACGTCTGGTAATGTCTGTTGCCAAATAGTTGGTTTTTGAAAAAAATGACCGACCATTCTTTTTACGATTCAAAATTCGAATTAAAGGGAAACTTAATTGAGCTGCTCGATGAAGAAGAGAAGGCAATCAACGAAATGTTTCCGAAGGAAGGATAGTAAAAGAAAGGAGAACAAGCGAGCGGAAGCTACACGGCGAATGAGAACGACCCAAATTTGAATTTAGTTCACTCATAATCACCAAAAGTGCAGGAACTCAGCGATGAGTAAAATTTGTCTCATGTTTTCCCAGGTTTTTCCAGGATTTTCCAGGGAAAAATTCCCGAATTTGAGAAAAGTAAAGATTGGATTCACTCAGTCTATTGGTACTACTCCGAGACTGAATAAAATTTTCGTCAATTTCCTCATTTTCCGGCAGATTTTTTAGGTTTTCCACAGGAAACCATCAGACAAATTTTACTCATCGCTGAATTCCTGCACTTTTGGCGATTATCAGTGAACTAAACTCAAATTTGAGTCGTTCTCATTCGCCGTGTATAAATATGAGCTACCTAAACTTGTTGAAGACATTCTTGTAACGAACTTTAGAAGCGACGGATAGCAGCAGCAGCAGCAGCAGCAGTAATAACAACAGCAGCAGCAGTAACAGCAGCATCAGCAGTAACAACAATAGTAGCAGCAGCAGTAATGGAAGCGGAGCGGCCGTAGCAGCCGATTAACGGCTAGCTATTTTCTGAGACAAACGACCGAGGCTGGAAACCTCGGTCGGGTCACGACACCAAGGATCTCATTTGGAGGAAACTACTTTCAAGATCATTGCAAAGAATATAAAATACAGATGGTCACCGTGTACCGAACAAAAGACGTGACTCAGAAAGCTTATTATTGAATGTCACACAAATCCACATATGAGAACATAATGTGAGTTTTTCATGATCAAAACATCAAATATGTATATCAAAAATAAATGATTCAATTGTTTTGTGAATTTTTATTTTGGAGCAGCTTTTGAAAGTGGACAATGGACATAGATTTTTAATTTTTTTCAAAAATGTTTCAATTTTTATTTAAAAAAATGTATGTTGTTACTTACAAAATTAATGAGTAGATCGTGAATTACAATCGAAACCCCGTTTAGATTGAATGAATTAAAATTTATTTACATTTTTTCACAATTTTTTAATCAATTATATCTTCGCGTACACTCAGTGCACTAGTGTGACAAATGAAAAGTTAATACAACTATGCAAAAGTGATGCAATGACAAATATGAGCTCCTACAAAACAACACATAACGTGCAAGATGAATATGATATTTTTTCAACAGATTCATCAAACTGCCTTCGTCAACCTAAGGAAGATTCACACGTCTTTCGATAAAGAACTAAAGTCACTGAACAGTTGAGTGATCAAAAAAGTCTTACAGCCCAATCAAGGTGGGTCCAAACTCGTTCAAAAGCCACCAATCACAATCCTCTGCCACCGTTCTTCCTATCCTAATGAGGCATGATTGATTAGAGGTTTATTGTGGCATTTTTATGACACACGGCACCGACTTCCGATTCCCAGACATAATTCTCAGACAAAACTATTCGCCGGCTAGATACAAGATACGAAAATGTGCAGAATGGGAGAGACCCGTTTCGCTTAATAAACACCCAAGTCGACATTATAGAACACCAGCTCCAATTGGGAACCTGTTCGTACGCAATGGTTTGAAGTTCGGCAGAGAACGAGACCAGCCAGCACGGATGGGAGATGGAGATTTTTATTGCCTGATCGTACAACTCTTTTTTCGCTAAAATCCCACATTAATTATATCTTTCCTAGTCGAAGCCTTTAGGATGGCTCCCGAAGAAGTGCGCGGTGGTCCGTCGGTTGATTATGTGGTGAGAACTTTGTTTTTAGGTTTTGTTCTATCGTTGGATGATTCCCGAATTGTGACGAGTTTATGATCTGGGCAAGCGCAAATTGAGAGGTTATAAAGTCATGCTGTAATGAGTTAGCAATAAATGGACTTCGCCGAAAACCGGTGTTATCGGTAATTTCTTTAGGTTATGACTCATAAAGAAGAAACTTTTCGGGCAAAGAATTATCACAAGGAAAGATCACATGCGAGGCAAGGGTTGATACAATTGAGTAATGAAATACTGTTTTGCCAAACTTTTGAAAGGAATTTTTATTTTATATTTTTACCACTACTCGTTTAAGCAACTGAGATGACTGTAATACATAAATTATTCATGTATAGCGAGAGCAGAAATTGAAAATAACGGTAGTCTGCTTATTAAGTAGAAGTAATAGCTACTAAGCTATGAGTCCCTCTATTCAATTCTTGGACAACCCGCTCCAACAGTAGCTCGATAAATTCCAATTGAAATAAACCTGCGTTTTTCCACCAAATACAAGAATTTCAAAAATACGAATCGATTCAGTGATTTAAAAAGAATCCGAATTCCTGAAAAACGAAGTCACAGTTTGCAACTGCATTCCTGCGACCATCTTACATCAAACATTTACCTATCATAATTCACGTGAACATATCTGCCGTTGACGCCAGAGCTGGCAAACATAGACGAGGAAGAATTTGTTCAACGATCCTTTACTCATAATACGACTGCAAATGCCACATGATCCCCACTTGCGCTGGCTAGTGCAAATATTAAACCAAAGAAGTCGGTATGGTGAATTTACTTTCGAATATACACGCGCTTTACCGAGTGATTCTCGGTCAACGCTGCTCACATTGGCCCTTGCTATGGCCTAGGCCGGCGGGGTTCCGTCAGTTGTTGGTGATGTACACTTTCCACGCGGTCGCCGTCTCTTGCTCTTATCTCATCTTAACAAAATAACAACAACAGCGATGACGACCGACGGACGAAGACGACGACAACAACAACGGTGCGGTGGCATATTGTTGTTTTAGTCTGCTGTCTTTTCCCAAGAATCTCCATCACAAGACAAGTTCCTGCATTTGCCCGGCGATGAGTTGTCGTATTATTCCAAGACTCGTCGGATGTTGGACGGCTGTGTGCCGGGTACAGTATTCTTCCGATTAGTTTGATTGGTGCTCGCTGGTGTCACGGTTTACGAATTTTAAATGCACAATTATAATGCTGATGCCGAATGGCATAGTCATGAATTTTTATGTCTCTTTGCTGCGGCGTGCGTCAGTGATTTGTTTTGCAAAATCAATCCATTTTGGGGTACGTTATCTTTTAGCTGAACTGGGTAAATTTATACTCAATTTAGTGGTGCATTACGTAGTTTTAGGGGACAACCCCGGCGTAGGGGTTGACATCCATACCAAAGTCACGAGTTCAAATCTCACCCCCGGATAAGTCACGACCCAGTCAGACCCAAGAGCGTTGAAGAGACTATTAAAAGTAGTTTTAGGTTCGCAAGTAGGCAAGAACATATACTTTTACCAATTGCGTTATATACAGTTGGCGCAAATTTTGTTGAGTTCTTAAAACATTATTCAAGACCAAATCATGGGCTACAGTCTAGTTGCCGCACTGTGTATTGGTGGTAATATAGTGGTGGAGCCTTTCCATAGCAATACGATATAATTGTTCTCAAAATTTCGTAAAAATGATAGTTTTGTTCCTTATCGTAAAATATTAAGTCCATATATTTTTTTTTGTCATT